GGCGCACATGGCGGCCACCGCCATCCTCAACCTCTCCACGCGCTGCCGCGAGATGCCGCAGAACCTCTCCACCAAGCCGCAGGACCTGTGCGCCCCGCGGGTACGCCCAGGCAGGCGGGCCCCTGCGGCGGGGCTCCTGGGAACACCGGGCGGCGCTGCTCAAAGCGCGGGAACAGCACCGCTGTCCCAGCAGACCCCGACGCTCCGGCCTTTTAGATTAATGTGTATGGACCGACCGGCCCACGTGGGGTCGGGACCATTCTGCGAACAAAGGACACCCACGGCCTATGCCGGGCCCAATGCCCACACAGACTCGCTGCCCCTTGCAGGTTAACACGGGAGGGTTGGCGACACCATTGCCCACTAAGATGTGGGCCCAGCCCTTCACACTCCTGCTGGGGAGCAGGACCAAAGCCTGGCTCCCGGCAGCTCAGAGACCTGGGGGGCTTCCTGGGGCCTACCCATTCTGAAGGTTTCTGTCTGTCGCTCAGGCTGGGAACAGGAGAGGGAGAGCTGGCTGGCTGGCCAGTAGGTGGCGGGAACCAGGCACAGGGACGGTTACCACTGTGCTGGCCAAGGTGGAGACAGCCCACCTCCTCCCAGGTGACCAGCTCCCAGGCACAGGTCACAGCCCTGATGGGACCTGGGACACACCGCTGTGATGTGTGTGAAGGGACAGGGGTCCGTCACCTCAACTTGCATAGGGTCCTTCCCTGCTGACGTTTTTATCCCTGGATGGGGAGCCTGGAACACGCAGCTTCCATGTTCAGGGCTGCTCAGATGCCAGGCTGGTGAAGACCCTGGGCAAGGACGCACTGCACAGTAACCCCTGCCTAGGGCTTTCCCTCTTAAGAGTAAACCAAGACAGAATAAATCCAGCATGTGGCGCCAAGCGGCAGGAAGCTAGGGCCAACAGTCAGCCTGCTACTGCCGTGCGCTCCAGGGCCCAATCCCAGCCCCTCTGCCCTTGCCTGGACTTGCCAGAAGGCAGCAGCTTATGGCTCAGCTCTAAAAATTCACTCTTTGGCTCAAGAGGGCATAACTCTGGATAGCAAAATAGGGACTTGGGATATGTGGGTTTCTCTTCCTCTCCCTGGTCCATGCTCCCTTCTCTGTACCCTCCTGCTAAGAGGCATGTGGTGAAGACCCGGGCCTGTTCAAGCGCTCACAGGAACATTTTACAGAAAGAAACTGTCTCTAGTGCAGGCTGCTGCAACAGGGGGCAGAGCAGAATCCTCAGGAGAGGGTCCCAGCTGGGACGGCATTTCTCCCCCTTTAAAGAGACCATACCCATTAGCAAAGGGTTTCTTATAAATAGGAAGTAAATGTTGGCTCTTCTCCCTCGTCCCTTCCTCTTTCTAACTCTTTTATCATCATCTCTAATTCGCACGGATGGAACTAAAGGAGAATTTTAGTGCATCTGTGCATATACGCGTGTACATACATGCAGATACTCACAGACACATGCACTTTTTCACTTTCTAGTATTTGAATGGAATGAAATGAAGCGCTTTTTTGATTTTTTCTGTCCAGGCTCATTTCTAAAAGCAGAGATGTAGTAGGGGACTTCAAACAGTTTACGAAAAATGGAGTTCAAATACAAGTTTATTTTGGTGTTAAAAAAATTAAAATCCATGCATAATTTTTTCATATCATTTTTTATGAACATTTTGAAGACCTCTTGTTATGGGAAAGAGAAATATGTTAGATAAGTAGAGAAATGGATGGATGAGTGACTGAGTGGATGATGGGTGGAGGGATGTGTGATGGACAGATGGTGGGTGAGTGGACAGATGGGAGGGTGTATGTGTGTGGACAGGTTATGGGTGAACGGATGGATGGGTGGCTGGATGAAGGATGGATGTGTGATGGACAGATTGTAGGTGAGTGGATGGATGGATGGGTGATGGATGGATGGATGGGTGATGGATGGATGGATGTGTGATGGATGGATGGATGTGTGATGGATGGATGGATGAGTGATGGATGGATGGATGTGTGATGGATGGATGGATGTGTGATGGACAGATTGTGGGTGAGTGGATGGATGGGTGGGTGGATGTGTGATGGGCAGATGGTCGGTGAGTGGATGGATGGGTGGGTGGATGGATGGGTGGGTGGACGTGTGATGGACAGATGGTGGGTGAGTGGATGGATGGGACCTAGAGAAGAACATTTGGGGTAGGGATACGAAGACCGCATTGGTGAGA